TTTGAGGATGGGATGATAATTTGTCAAACAGTTCATTCTGTATCATAACATAATTGATGTGAATCATGTAAACATATACTTTGGTGTAACTTTTCAATTATATTTATGATGGTTGTATTTACTATGAGCACTATTATAGTCGTTGTTGTGATACTCTACATGAAGTCCTCCACCCCCGAACGTTTCCGCCATCCTTGGTTTGGGGGTGTGACATATATATATATATATATATATATATATATATATATATATATATATATATATATGGTTATCAGGAGAGAAGGTAGATTAAATCAATTCTTGCATAAATTGACTTTGCTTCTTATCGGTAGATGGCTTTGGAAGGGACTCTTCATCGAACTTGACATGGATGGATTCTTCAACATTATTTCTTTTGATGTTGTAGACTCTAAATGCTTTGGAATTGAAGAATAACCCATGGAAATTCCTTTGTCAACTTTAGCTTGAAACTTTGTAAGTTGGTACACCTCTAGTTTAAAAATAGAATAATGACAATCCAAAACACAAAAATAGTATATGTCAGGTTTTGTACCTTTGATTACCTCATAGGCAGTTTAGCCGTGCCATTTTACCTAAATTAACCTGTTTTCGGGTGTAATAAGTGTTGACCACTTTATCCCAGAACTACATGAGAAGATCAACTTCAACAATCATGGTTCTTCAAGCCTTAATCAGTGACATGTTCCTCCTCTTAGATAAACCATTTTGTTCAACAGCACTAACTGTTGAGAAGTTTTGAGTTATCACTTTTACTCTATAGGATCCCCAAGAATTTCATTCCTAAATTATGTCTCATGATCACTTCTTAAATATCTTACCTTCTAGCCTTTGTCTTTCTTTTAGTTTTTAAAAGCTTAACTATAGATTTTGCAGTTTAGTTTTCCAAAGTTGTTTTATTTTAGAAGACTCAGGCTTGGCATGTAAATTTTAGATTTTTCATTATCAAGGTAACTTACTCACTTTTCAACCTAATAAAGAGAGGATGGTTCTTAGTTTTGATATCCATACATCTTTGCGGCTTTATCAATTTCCATACTTCTTTGCGGCTTTATCAAGATCTGCTTTAAAAGAGCTTGAGCTACTACTTTCACTTACCATTCCTATCTTTTCAATTAAACACACATTGTCTTTCTTAACCTTCTCTTCATAAATGGAAGAATCTTCCACTTCCTACTTTTCTTCTTAAGCTAGTAAAACTTTGGATCCAAGGTTTTGTTTCTTAAGGTTAGCAACCAATCTTTGTATTTGATCTCATAAGACTTATTGTTATCATCGTTGGTCTTAACCTTGTAATCTCTAGCAAAGTGTCCAGTATTACCACACTTGTAGCACTTGTCAAGGGAGGTGCCTTTGTCATTCCTTGAAGATAAATCATCACCAGGATTCTTTGGTATGAAGGGCCTTTGATTTGGCTTGAACTTTCCTGAATTCTTTAGACCGTTGAATTGCTTTGCAATCAACGCTGCATGCGCATCAAGTTTAGCCATCCGTTGAAATTCATCATCATCTTATGTGTCTTATGTTGGATCTATATGCTCAAGAATCATTTAGAATGATGTTTTTCAATAACATATAGTCCTATATGGTCACAACTTTAGCAACTTGTCATTTATTGAGAATTAGATTATTAATAAATATATTTAACTCTTGTATCTAATTTTAAAGAAGTTATTATTTTGTGAAAATAATTTTTGGAAACTATTATTTTATGAAAATAATATTTTAGAGAGTATAACTAGTTGTTTAATCATATGGTATGATTAAATATGTCATGTATAAGTATTTGGATACTTAGGATTCCACTAGACTTATACATATACATTAGTTTAATGGTGTGTAGTGTATACCACTCTTCCTCTCTCCTCCCGCTAACTTTAGGCCTACACCATCCAAGAAGGGATGGAGTGTTACTTATTTGAATCTGTTCTTACAATCATCATGCTTGCAAGTCCCATACTGTAACAACCCGTTATTTCAAGTCAGTAAAAATCGAGTCCTGTAACCTCTTTGAGGAAGGAATTAGAATATCATCGAAAAATGAAGTATTCAAAAACTCTATTTGGAGTACACTATGTGGTAGGTATCGTCTTAAGGTTTCCAAACATATAAATAACACAAAAATCCGAGTTATAACGAAGAAATTATGACCATTCTAAGTTATCCGACAAAAACCGGCAATATGAAGTTGCGTAAAAATGCAAAGTTTCAATAAAACACTTTCTGACCTTAGGTGTCTAAATGAAAGTCATAGATATTGTTAAACTACAAACATGCATAAAAAGAACGCTCAAATCGTACATCGTATGAATAAGTTATGAATTTTTAAAGAAATTCCTTAATCACGTCATTTTAATAAATAAATAATAAAAATAATTTCGGAATTTGCCAACGGAATCTAAATGAAAGTTGTAGACCGTAGTCTCACCTTCGCGGGGATATAAAGAACGTCAAAAATGGAGTTCATATGAAGGAGATATGAATTTTTGAAGTTTGATAAATAATTTATATATAATTTTTATTAAAAATTCGTTATTATCCGAAGGGGAGTCAGCCTAGGGCCGTAGTACGCGCCGCGTACCCTCGTACGCCCCGCGTACTCGAGGCCACGGCCTCGGATCGTCTACGTCGCCCCTATGCGAGCTACCCCCTCCCCTGTCCCGTCCGAAGCGCTGCAGCCGAGGATGCGGTCAGCAGTGACGTCCCGTACGTGCCGCGTACGGGAGTACGCCCTGCGTACGCATGCCTCTCAGCCCCCTATAAAAGGGATGCGAGGGTTCCCGGGAAAATGGCTCATTCTCTCTCCTTTTTCTTGCGTTTTACCTCGTTTTCTGTGCTCGCACTACCCCGAAGCCCTGGACATTTTGTGCAAGTCCCGAAGGTCGATTTTACTCCCGAGGAATCCCAAGATTTCCGAGGAAAATCCATTTCCCGAGACGAAACTCTGCCCGGTTTTCCATCTTGCTATCTTCAAACTTTCAAGTAAGTTCATACCCCTTTCAAACACACTTTAAATACATTTTAAATGCTTTTATACTTCTTTAGGGGGGAATACAAGTAAACATACGATTATTATCGTATATTTTATAAAGTTTCACTTTGCTTGTTTTACCAAATAAATCACTTGGAACTCATTACTATTATGGAAAACTCTTGTCATACTTTGCGTGCATTAGACTTATACAAAGTATATAATGATTTCAAATTACCTTTCATTGATAAGTCGTTTTATAGATTCTAAAAACTTATGATTTTGCTTTGTCAAACATTGTGAAAAAGGATAAACTTTGCATACAAAACTATCACTTTAATACAGGCTTAGTTGAGAATCCATGAGATGTATATATCTTCAAACGTTACTTTTCTTTATTAGAAAGTAAGGCTGCAAGTCCTGTCTATAACCAGAGTCTCCCGTTCGGAGAACGTGTCAAATGTGTATAGATCTATACGGGAAGTCATGATCCCGCGCCCTGCTGTTAGCTACAGTCCGTCTTTTGGGGTGACAGTTGTCATAACACTGCGACGCCTGAAGAATGTCGTTACAGGCATATTATGTTTAGTATGGTTATAAAACTCATCGGATATACAATTATTATGGTATTATGCTTTTATGAACGAGTAACTATTAAAACTATTCTTCATCTAACAAATGCGATCTTCGTATAGCTTTATTATATAAAACTACGACACAACTTTTAAGAAACATCGGTTTCTTGCGATTTTCGATCTTAGAGACTGCCAGTTATGTTACGAAAATAAGGGTTTTTCCTATATACAAACCAAACAACTAATAGGAAAATAAGGGATTTTCCTGGTGCAATTATTTACAACTTATAGCACGAACATTCATATGCATTTCATACTTTTATAAGAAAATAAGGGTTTTTCTTGGAAAACACAACAACTCGTATCTCAACCATTAGGGAAAATATGGATTATCTGGATCTAATACATTCACTTTCAACACAACAAATCACAACTCTTTACATTTGAAATGCTGCGTCTCTGGAAAACATACACCCATTTTGGAATGGCATCCAATATTTCTAAACTACTTATGAACTCACCAACTTAATTGTTGACACTTTTTCTTTGAAATAACTTGTATTCTCAGGGAACCGCTAAGCAGGTTTGGGAATCAACTTTTGGGATTAACGCGCTGGCGTTAATTACTTCTTTTGAATGATGTTTATGTATTTATCTTTTGAACATGTAATGAATACAATTATATAAACATCTTGGAAACTTTAATATATATGGTGGTGTGTACTTTCCTTTCTATGAACTGTTATGATATTGAATATGACGTCCTCCGCCCCCGAACATTTCCGCCGTTCTGGTTTGGGGGTGTGACACATACATTTGCATTTAATGAAAGCATGGGTCTTGGATCTCTAGTACAAGTATATAAGGAAGAGTAAGGGATCAAAGTCTCTAAAGCGTGTCTTCTAAACATCTTATGTGTTGTTTTTGTTTATAATCTTTCTATATCATGTAATTTGACCCTTGGTGGTTTTGTTTAATAGTCTTAGAATAATAGATATTTTAAAATTGCTTTCGTTCGTCGCTTTAATTTTTTTTATAAAAAGAGATTGTTTTTAGCTTCCGAAAATCCATCATCTTCCCCTGATGAGATTTTATCACTTTCACTAAGATCATCAATTATTTTGGATCCTTTAGACATAAGCGTAGATTATTTGTCTCTTTTTCATCTTTCATCTCCTTTACACTTTCTCTTCTCTAAGCCTTACTTTGATCATGATTTTTGAGATTACCATAAAGACTTGGCAGATCCATGGTCTGTATCTTCTCACTATTCTTGAGGATATTAGCATGATGCTCCCAACTCTCATCAATAGAGTCAAAAAACTTATGAACCAACACATCATTATCTTTTATAATCTCAAACTCTCTCAAGTCATTAATTAAACAGTTAAATAGATGAAAAGTGCTAGTGAGGGATACATTCTTATAAGAAAAAACTACTCGTACTTACAAATGATGGAGTTCTTCAAGTTATTATTCACCTCATCAGTGCCTTCATAAGTAATTTTGACGGTTAAAATGATCACCTTTGCATATACATAGTTTTCTACCAAATGGTAAACATTGTAAAGAAAAGAAATACATATTGCAGCCCTAACACAAACATCAAAATTTACTTTCTTTTTCTCATCTTCAGTCAACTGATGAATCAGTGCTCTTAAGGTAACTAGTTCTTTTTCTTCTTTAGTAATAGTCCTAAGAGGAACATAGAGGCCTTCCTTCAGAATGTCCAACATATAGATATTCATGGTTTCAAGAACCATCATGGTCTTACTTAACCACGTCGAAAGGTTATTTTCATTAAAGGGGGAGCATTTGTTCAAGGACCTAGATCAAAAGGCAGATGACGAGGAGGAAAAAGAAGATGGTCTAAACACTACTTCGATACCAGTTGTTGGTCTCAAACCAATAGATTCAAAGAGTAAATAAAAAAGAATGATGAAATTAAACTTTATTGAATAGAATAGTTTCAATAACCAAGAGGTAATCAGAGAACATACTCTGACTATGTACACACTCTCGATCGATGACCCTTTACAGAAAACGGTGTATATATATATATATATATATATATATATATATATATATATATATATAATAAAAGACTAAGGTCACAGATTAACATACAAGATAGGTACAAAAGGAAACTCAATCTCATACAAAAGTGGAAGTTTATGTTATATGGTCATCCCGATCTTCATTAATATCCTTAATTCATAAGGAATTTATCTTCAATCTTCAAAGCTTCTTGTACTGCCGAATCTTCATTAAGGTCATTGATGTCAAAATGGTATGAAACCCCTAATGACATCAGTGGTAGCAATAGATGATGAACAACTTTTGATATATCAAATCTCAAAGGTCCTAACAAACTCTAATAACGTATTTTAAATTTTTTAACAAGATGTTGTTTTAAATTTTTTTATATCAAGAATGTTATATTTTATAAATGAGTTTGTTACAATTAACATTGAAATCTATGGTTTTAATTTTTATATATATTGTTTTCGAAAGTATTTTCTTTTATCAATGGTTTTTACATATTAATTGTTTTCAAAGAAACTTTTTAATTAGGACATTACATCTTTGTCTAACCATTTAAGAGACATGTTAGAGAAAAGAAAGAGAGAGATGGAAACACAAAGTAAAAAAAATAAAAAACGAAACAAAAATGAAAAGAGTATGAAGAAGATAACCCTAATCAAGGATACCATTTCAAGAGAGCTAAAAGGTGGGATAATGATCTACCCATCAAATCAGAACTAAATGAGGGGAGGGCACTTAAGGCCATGAAGTATACTCCCCACGCTATCCCCCTCCACCTCAAGATTATCCTCTGAAAATTCACCACATTCTCCTTTGACACCCACAATGGTATACCAGCAACATTAGCCCTCATCGTGGTGTGTACAAAAAATGATATGAACAACCTCTCGTTGGTCGTGGTTTGTCATGCTACACACCATGATCCATCACAATTGTTTCACAACAGAAGAAGGGGCATTGTGCACAATCATGGTGCCCTTGCCACCTGGCTATAGACCCCTCTCGTATGTGGTATACCCAATAACCTAATATACAAAATGAAGTCATTTCAATATTAGAGCACGTGTATTGACACGGTGACACACACATGATGATTTTAAGTTTGAATAATGTGTATGCTTCCTTGTAATCATAGTTCATATTGGGGCTTAATGGTGGACCCTCGGTCTACTAGATCTTAGACTTCAACTAATGGGGCTAGACTCACAAGCCAAACACATCAACCTGAACAATAGTGTATCTCATAAAATCTAAGGATGTACAAAATGTACTCCTTCATAGTTCTATTATACATACATATGGACAATTGTAAGTATCTTAACAGTAAAATAATTGTCAACCTGCAACGCAACATGACACAATGTACTTAATTCATATAATGTCATCACAATACCTAAACCACTAATGCACACACCAACACACAATGAAAGACACAATTAGTGTTTTTACCATCATAAGCAACACTAACTTAGGATGAAGAGTGTTTCCAGGATTCACGCCTAACATTTTTTCTTATGTTTATTGTACAGGTGAAATTGTTGATTAAAACCCAAGCTTATCTCCCACGTCCAAAGAAGGCCTAACGAATTGGTGTTTCATTTATCAAAAACTTAATTTATACTATTGATTCAGAATTCAAATAAGTTGGCTATATCAAAACATGTTCATCTGGACTTGCAATCACATAAATTACATTTTCAATTTATGGATTATTTGAATGTGGTCATTACAACTAATTATGAAGCAGATGTCATGGTGAAGATCAATCTTATTTATCACCACCATGTAAATATATAGCAAAAGTTAATACCATATTTCACACCCAATAGTTACCAAATTAGCATGTCACCCTATCAAAATCTAGTGTACATATTTCCTAGATCCTAATAACCATACATTACATGACTCTAATGTGCCAAAATCCCATAAGTATAGTGACAAATAATACATCTATATAGATATCTTTAACATCATTAATTTCATCAACGAATTGAACAGATACAATGACTCTTGACTTCCTTACCACCGCATGCTACTATGGTTTTAGTATGGAGTACCATCAATACCTCTGGTGAGCAAAACTCGATTGTTTGTCAAGACTAACTATTTTGAGGATAGATATTACGACTAGCTTTGGTTAGAATGTTTATGAACAACCTTATGCTTTATATAGAAAAACATGTTACATTTTTTTTTGCTTTATACCGAATGAAAGGGAACATTCACCGAATAATGTGTATAATGGATTTAAAATTAGTACTACCTTAAATTTGTTTTCCATGGTGTGTCACTTATTTTAGTTGTCATACTAAATAATGTGTATATGATGGATTAAGATGATATTTTGTACAAGCATCTGAAAGAACTAAAGATTATCGTTGTAGCCAATCTGGAACTTCTCGATATACGTTGTATATCGACCTTTGACTTCTAGGATCTGTATGCTGTTAAGTCTCAATCATACTTCGACTCTCAATGTTCTCACTCAAACCTTGTTTACTTGAATTTTAATAAAAATGATAAATGTTGTTACTGTGAGAAACTCATCCACCGATCATATTAATGATGTGATATTACCCTGGTAAATGACGCCAAGACATTATTATGATTAAATGTATTTTTGATCAAGATTTATCAGTCATATGTCCAAAAATAATAATTATACCAATTTCATTTTCATATAACATTTTCTCCCTGAAATTATCAAGAAAATTTTGAGAAAGTATTGTCAATTGAGCATATGTTGAAAAAAAAAGATAGGAATCTTTAGAGGAGTGACAAGAAACCAAAACGGAATAACTGAACGTAACCAAATGATGCTTTGTTTATTTGGTTCGGGTTATTTGGTTATTCGGTTAATTCGGTTTGGTTAACCGAATAATGATACCTTATTTGGTTTGATTGTGGTTAAACTTTCATGACTTTGGTTAAAGCGAATAAACTATTTAATTGTTATATATTTTTATAGTTTATATATAAATTAACATTTTATATTTAAATTGATAGATGGTTACTAAAAAAATGTTTTCACAACTCATTATTTAGTTATTAACCATTATAAATTTATAATTGTTTACATATTTCAGTCATTTATTTGGTTTGGTTATGTTTAGTTTTAAGATGTAAAAATCCGATAAAACCAAAACGTATAAACCGAAAACCAAAAAAACCAACCGAATAACACCCTTAGTAATCTTATCTAGTCATGTCCTAATTAACAAATGCATCCAAATGGAACAGGGTCAGAAAAATCAAAAGACCAATAATGTATAGATGTGATACTTTTGCAGATTTTAGTGGCAGAAATTCCACTCGCATACAATATGAGAGAGATATCGTTCCAGATTACTAATTGGTAGGCCAAAATGCTATAATATTTTTTAAGTCCAAGACATATGTTGCTAGTTGGTTACACCCAACAAGTCAAAAAAAACCTAATATGTTGCTTCAATTACTTCAAAATGAAAAACCACCAACAACTACCTTGTACACAAACAAGTTAATCTGGTGAACTACAGATAGGTAATTCTTTTTGACTTGTTACAGAAGTTAGGAGAATAAGGAAACATTATGTTGAAAGCATATACAAGAAAACAACCAGTCCAGTGGTGGAAGTTCTAATTAAAGGGGTGTTTGGCTTAGCTTTTTAAAGTTTAAAAGTCCTTTTTGGAAAGGTTAGAAAAAGTCGGGATTTTCTAACTTTTCCAAAAAGTTGATTTTCCTTATATAAAAACTCCAAAAATAACTTTTTAAAACTAGTTTACCAAACATCTTTTATTTTTTTCTTTTCAAAAAGGATTTTTGCAGTTAAAAGCTAAGCCAAACACCCCCTAAGTCATCATTCCTTAATGAGGGTCATATTGTTAAGCAACTCAAGGGTTGTCTAGTCAAGCATAAGAAATTATCTGTTTAGGTGAAACCAAAACTACAAGTAGATGTATACCTTAATTGTGCAAAAAGCACTTAAGTAGATACTAATTGACCTTGTTAGACCTAAGTATCCCTAAATAGACCTTAATATGCATAGATAATCATAATATGAATCAAAAAGACATAAATGGAACTACAGTGTGAGTGTTCAACTTCAACTAAAGATTAGGATAGGCTCCTTTTGTAGGCACTAGGCTCTTATGTCAGCCACCTCAAGGGTTGCTAAAAATATAACCCTTTCTCAAAAACATTATAAACAAAGCCACTAATACCAGATATCTCACAACATAACACATTGAATATTTGGTTTCCAAACATAAAACAGCAACTAGCATAGCATTCATCATTACATTGCATGTTCAATTTAAAAATTGTTTATGGATAAACCAATGCTTATTAGACTCAAATAACTTATTTAAACTTTTTTGATTTTACCAAAATACCACTCACCTTCAAGATAATCAAGAAACCTAGTAATGAGAAATTCTTCTGAATCGCATCATCCTTTGCATTAAGGATAATCTCTCTCCATAGGCACAGCTTCAGAAACTTCACCTTCAATGCTTAACCTTTGCATCCTTCCATTATCAGAAGAAGTATCATCATCATATCCATCCTCACTACTCAAAAAGTCAAGCAGTGAGTCAACATTCCGATTTTTATTTTTCAAATCATGATCTCTCATAGCATGAATCACCCCCAATATTGCTTTTTTACGTTCGATAACAGTTTCTGTTACTAGCATCCCACCATCATATGCTAATTCCTCACTTACCCCACACATCAACAGACCCCCTACCTTTGCTGCTGTCAAGAACAAAACAACCGCCTTTTCATCAATCAGCTTCACAACCCGATCAACCCCTTTCATTCTCAACCTCTTAGGGTTAAAAATCAGTTTCTTAGGGTTCACACAAGATGCACACATCGGAGGTGCTCCTGGGGGACTAGGGTTAGAGGAGAAGCAGAGGGGATGAGATTTAGAATTACATCTTTGACAGTGATGAGTGTTCCCTGTGTAATCAGACCATGGACACCAAAATAGGTAGGGCAAAAAACTATTTCCATGTAAAAAGAACACATGATGTGCATAACCTTTGGTATTGGCTTCGATAAAAGATATTGTGAATCAGCTTTTGATCATCACAATAACATTTGCTGCAAATGAATTTATTGAGTTTGGTGTTGGTGTTTTGATTCATCTTCTAGGTCAGATCTCAGATCTCATATATCGGGTAGATGCACGAAAACTAGGGTTTATGTGATCATATATATAGGGGTGGAGGAGAGGCAGGTGGATAAGAGCTGTTGGATTTGGATCTCAAGTGAATTAGTGAACGGTGAGATGATTAGTTGGGTTTAATTTTCATTTATGCCACCTAATGTATTAAGGTAATTCTATATATATCCCCGTATGTATTGACTTTTTTTTATAACTATCACCTCCAAATATGGTTTAAAATCACATTGAAATCCACTTTACCCTGTTAACATTCATAAAAAGCAAATGATCGACATGCTGACAAGAATCTTGTATAAGATGTAACGTCTGAATCTTAATTACTTCTGAACTTGGTTTTACCAAAGAATCAAATTGAGTGAAAGGCCACATTTCGTTTTCTTTCCGTGTATACAATGTGGTAAGTTTCTTGTGTGGCATTATCTTACTTTTTTGGATGTAAAAGTGAATAGATAGATCACACTAGAAAATCTTAAAATTAAACTAGAATCTAGTCACTTATTGAGTTATAATCTTCTGTAATGCTTTACATTCCTCTTAAGTTTGCATAACTAATTTTTAGAAGTTTATGGGATACCATTTTGCCCCCATGAAGAGGCAGGTTATGATTTGTTTTTGTGATTCTGAAAGCAATAATAAAGAACAGATAGCAATGGCAACGTATATAAATATTGGAAAAAGAAAGGGAAATCTTCAATGATACAATTAGAAAGTATCAAGGACTCAAACAGGACTAGCACTAAAGTCTTAATAAGTGACACCTTAGGAAAGGAGGTGTTGTTTCTTTTGTTACTCAATGGAGTTAATGAGGACATGATTTAACTCAGTCTGCTATATATGGAACTTTTTTTGCTTAATGCATAAAGAAGAAAACTTAATAGAGAAATTCATGAGACTTTCCTCATTAAGTTCTAAATTAATAGAGTGAGCAACCTGAGGCACATTCTAAATTGTCTTCACAATTTCATTTGATGTGCAACCTTCTACAACTAGCAACCAAAATTCATAAACTCTCTACTAAAAAGTCACACTTAAAATTAGTCAATTTTTAAGAAAAAAAAGTAAAACAAGTGCACTCCAATAAAGTAACATTGGGATCAAAAAGTAGCTCACTAAATGAAAGAACTACAAAACAAGTATATAACATTTTGATTTGTAAAAGCAGTTAAATCTAGATTTCTAGAAAAGCAATCACTCACCTTCAATCAAGTGCTCTACAAAATTTATAATCAGGATTTAACATGGAGGAAGAATGCAGAATTTAAAATTAGCTACCTAACTGTTAAAACTCATATAAGTTATCAATTCCTTTAATATATCATAACCAAATCCTACTTATCAGGTAACTTGCACTTGATACAGAATCCATATGCAACAATTATGTTATAATTTAAATTACTTAAAATTACCTAAACAAAGTATTTTGTTGAGAGTTACTTGAAGACATGATGTTCCTACAGAATCAAACAAACATTCTCCTCCTTGAGTGACTTTTTCCTGAGAGATTGTTAGTTAATTGATTGCATTTTATCCTTGGAAAGTCTACCACAAATGATCACTTAATCTCAAAGTTAATTCCATTGTTAGTGGTAGAAATAAGACAAATCTTCATCAGTATTAACCTCCATTAGCATCATGAAATTCCGTGCTTCACAACACTAAACCCTTGTAGTTGCTGATTTTTCTCATTTAGCTGCTCCATATACAAAGTTTCCAAAAGTTAATCTGAAGTATCCACTGTGTAGCTATGGATCACACCATCCACCCATCGTGATCACAGCAATGCTGTTGAAGTAACGACGACAGGTGTCCAATTATCAATGTTATTTACCTTACACACTAGATGGAAGGTATGAGGAAGAAACTTCACTTGCCTTTTTTTCTCTTCGTATAAGACCCCTCCTTAAGTCCCATCCGCCACCTACCTCTTACTCATTCTCATGGACGCTACCTTCAGTGCAGCCAGCAACGACAATATTCGTGGTGGAGGACGCCGCACATAGATGCCGTTGGCGCAACAACAGCTACACAGTGTAACAACCCGAAATTCATATCCCTAAATGTAACCCTTCTTGCGACCTGTTCCGATCATCCAATCACCGTTTTCAATTTCGTTTCCGTTTCTGACCTTTTATTAAGTCGTTAATGTGAATTTTATTTTATGACTTAATAAGTGTATTAATACACTTAGAACTCATTCTAATGTCTCATATTAATGATCGGGACATTTCTAGAATCAGCCATATCGGGTTACGGCAAATTGGCTGGGTGCGACCAAAAGCCCCGTCTAACGCCGGTATCGGGTAGAATTCTACCGTGTCCCAAACTTGGACACTATTTAAAGTGATCCAAGTCTCCATTTTGAAGCTTTTGCTCCATTTTACAACTATCACTCCAACCTCTCTCCTCAAACTAGATTTAAGGGTCAAAATCTCAAGTTTAAGGCTTCAAATCACCAAGGTACCTTCCCTAATTTGTTATGCAACATCTTTAGCCCTCAAATTCGAGTTCAAACCATGGCATAGTACCATTATCATGAGTTTACGGCCCTAGAACAATCCTAGGCCATAAACTCATATAAAAGGGGTTTCTGGAGCAAAAAAACCCTTCCAAACCTCAATTGGACTTTGGTTACGGCTAGAGGACTTTATGAAATGGAATTAGAATGCCTCAAACCAAGATTTAAAGCTTTCTATAAGATTTTATGGCCCTAGAAGGTGCCTAGGCCGTAAACACATATTTAAATGGGTTTTAATCCATTTAACCCTTCCAAGACACAAACAAGGCTTAGATATGATTTTTAGAATATTGGAAATGGACCTACAACACCTTAAACATAAATTTTGAAGAGTTTGTGTGAGTTTACGCCCAAGTCTTGTGCTTGGGCCGTAAACTCCTTAAACAAGGGTGTAAACTCACTTCTAAGGTGTTAGAAAGCCATCCAACACCACCAAAAGCTTTGGAATAAATCATAGAACCAACCAAAAATAGTTTAAGGGATTTAAACACATCAAAATCCCACATTTGAGAGTTTACGGCCATAGAACATGCCCCATGGCCGTAAACTCCTAAAAGGATGTCAAATGGTGCCCAAAATTGATTTCTAGGCTTGTTAGAATTTTTAGAATCACATGTGATTAATTTTGGGACCTTAACAACACTTATTCTAAGAGATATGAGAGTTTACGGCCATAGACCCCATGCCTAGGCCTTAAACTCCTTTAAGTGTTGCATTTGGTGAATTTAATCCATCCCAAGCCTTAGGTAAAATAAATCCAAGCATTTCCAAGTGGTATTGACCCTATGTGACCCATTAAACACCATAAACCACCCCACCATAAATTTACGGCCATAAACTCATGGGAAATGGGTGTTTAGGCCATAAAATCAATTAGGAAGTTTACTCTTTGGGAGTAAACTCAAATCCCAAGTCCCACGCTTCAATTCCCGTCCGTAGATGTCACCCGGGTCAATCCAAACACCCGTTTTGAGGTGTTCTCGTTCGTTGGAGTGTAACTTCATATCTAATTAGAATTTGTAAATCTAATTAGATATATTTGTATGCCATTCCATTTTACATAGGAACCTCACATGTTATCAGGCCTCGATTCGACGTTTAGCATCTGAAATCGACACACTTCCGCGTCCGGTGAGTTCATACCCCTACCCTTTTTCAATGGTCTTTCAATGTTTTCAGGGGGAACACAAGCAAAAGTACAAGAATATCTTGTACTCAATCACATGATTTCAGTTAAATGATTTCATAATTGTACATTTTAGGAATTGAAAACCTTTTAAACAAACTGTTTTAACTTGCAGAGTTGTTTGTTTTTAACCCGATTTTCAATTCTTATTATACACTGTTATATTGTGTACTTTGCATTTGATTGTTCACACTTAAACTGATAGAATACATAAACCATTGTAATGTCTGTAATAAAACACTAAGGTTCGAGTGTAAAAGACAGACTCCATTAGAAAACATAAAACATCTGTACGTCCTTAACAATACACCTAGGCTCGAGCGTGATAGATAAATACCATCATAACACACAAATCACTGTAATGTCCTTAATAATACACCTAGGATCGAGTGTAAAGGACCATAATCATTAAATAACACCTAGGTTCGAGTGTAATGTCCTTAATAATACACCTAGGGTCGAGTGTAAAAGGACAGCCATCATTAAATAACACCTAGGCTCGAGTGTAATGTCCTTAATAAAACACCTAGGCTCGAGTATAAAGGACAGGTACATAGAATATAGTCAGTCGTAAATACTACTTTCCTAGTCGAAAAGTAAAGAGTAATCTTAATGATTGGAGACACGTCCTTGTAACACTTCCATGGCACGAGATAGTGGAGGACTAACCCTGTAACCAGAATCTCCGTTCGTAGGAGAGCATGGCTTGAGTGTATAGATCTATACGGGACTGACAATCCCACACCTGGCTGCTAGCTACAGCCGAACCGAATGGTTCAAGGGTGACAAAAGTCATAAAAAGGATACTGGTCATGGTCCGAGTCATATCCAGTCTGAGTATGGTTAAGGACTCGCAATCTAGATTATTAATGTTTTAGACTCAATTGCTAGCTTTATGTGCATAGTAAAGCTAATGTATATTCAAGAATGACAGGCTCACACACACAGTCAGGGAAACATAGGGTTTTCCTGGGGAGAACATTG